ATGATTGGTATCCTTATTTAAATGGGCAACCTAGACAGACACAGACATATACAGAGGGAAGATGAAGTGAAGAGACACAAGGTCATCTCGAACCAAGCTACCAGAAGCTAGTAAACAGGTCTGGAACAGATTCTTTCCTAGTGGCACTAGCAAACTAATATAGTAGGTAGGATGTAAATTAAAAAGAATGATATGACAGAGAATAAATAAAGGCAGGGGTGAGTGGAACTACTTAAACTGGGAAATTGAGAAAGGGCTTTGTTGTCTGGGAAACCCATTTCAGGTAATACATAGGAAGGAGACATGATCTGGCTGGCTTCTTAAAAAACTATTTACTTGGGACTGGGGTTGTGGCTCAGTGGTAGAGTACATGCTTAGCATGTGGGAAGCCCCAGGTTCCATCTTTGGCACCACATAAAATGAAGGTATTGTGTTCAACTACAACTAGAAAATAAATATTAAAAAAGCTATCTACTTAAGGATAAAATACATAGAGAAAAATACACAAATCCTAAGTGTATAAAAATGAATTTTTCAAAAAAAAAAAACCTCTCTGGTACTCAACTTCCCTTCCCTATACCCCTTTTAGTTAGTACCTACCCCAAGGGTAACTAACACCCTCAATTCTGACAACAGATTCACTTGAACTTCATGTAAATGGAATCATACATTATGTACTCTTTCATTTCTGGTTTCTTTCACTCAGTATTATGTTCATGAAATTCACCCATCAGAGGATTTTAGTTCATCCTTTCTCAATACTTTGCAGTATTCTGCTGTGTAACTATATTAAAAGGTAATTATTGGTGTGGAGGTTGTGGTTCAGTGGTAGAGAGCTTGCCTAGCATGCATGAGGCACTGGGTTTGAGCCTCAGTACCACATAAAAATAAAGGTATTGTGTCCACCTACAACTAAAAATAATATATATGTGTGTGTGTGTGTGTGTGTGTGTGTGTGTGTGTGTAATTATCTATCTTCCTATGAGGAGCATTTGGGTAGTTTCTAGTTGGAGCATTGTGTGCCTTGGTGAATATGTTCATTAATTTCTGTTGGGTATATTCCCTAAAGTTGAGATTTCTGGATCACAGATATATATTTCAGCTTGAACAGATAGTGCCATATCTGTGGTTGACATATTAAAAGATGTACTATATACAGAATGGTAATAACAGAATGGTAGTTGGAGAGATGGCAAGAGTGGAAATGGAGAGACCAGATAGAAGCCTATTGTAATAGTCCTAGCATTCAATCACAGTAGCTATAATTGGGATAACAAGTGAGGAAATCGAGAAAAGTATACTCATACAATATACACTATATAGGTATACAAGTTCTAACAGGACCTGCTAATGAACTGATTATGGGAGGATGAGGGAAACAGAGCAATCAGGCTAACTGTTAGGATTTTGGTTTGAATAAATAGGTGGATATTTATGTCAGTTACTGAGATGTAGAAAAACAGGAAAATAACAAGTGTGTAGATGAATAAAGAATTCTAGTTTGCTCATGTTAATTCTGAGATACCTATTAACTATCCAAGTAGAGATATCAAATAGTTGGAGTTCAGACTGGTGATATACATTTGGGACCATCAGCATACATATTACTGTTAAGGAGAAAGAAAGTGTGAGGAGAGAAGAATAAAGACTTGAGTCCTGGAGCATGCCATCACTAAGAAGTAGAGGAGCTGGGTGCAGTGGCTCATGCCTGTTATCCCAGTCACATGAGAGGCTGAGGCAGGAGGAATACAAGTTTGAGGCCAGTCTCAGAAATTTAGGGAGGTCCTAGGTCACTTAGTGAGGCCCTACCTATGGTAGAATGAGACAGACATTATTACACTATATACAAGTATGGTTACACTACTGGACTGACTCTGTACCATGTACAGCTAGAGGAATGAAGTTATGTTCTATTTGTGTACAATATGTCAAAATGCATTCTACTGTAAAAAATAAATAAACAAATAAATAATTTTAAAAAGATGGGCACTATTATGTTAGGTTTGAAACTGATATAGTAAAAAGGGCAAATGTGATATAGAAAGGGGGCAATCACTGAGGTACAGACCTAGAAAAGTAAAAAGAGATGAGATAAAAAGCACAAATGAAAGAGGGGTTTTGTTGAGAGTGATGTTTCCATCAAAGAAAAAAGGAGAAAAGCAGAAAGTACTTGCAGGTTGGTAGATATGATGGTGGGAGGGAATAAAAAACTTCTCATTTGTGTTTTTCTTCTCAATGAAGAATGAGCCAAGACCATAAATTCAAGGCAAATGGGAAGGAATACTGGAGGTTCTGGGAGAAAGTATAATGACCATTTGAGGTATGGAAGAGAAAATTTGTCAGGAGCATAGAGTAGGAGGTCAGGCAGTATTGCGCTTTCACTTGAGATCTGTGGACATGAAGTTAAAAAGAAACCAGTCATCAGTGATTACGTGTGAGTTATAAGCACTCTGACAAGTAGTGCTTATTAAATATAATGATACCCTCCAGTTGTTCACTCAATGAATAAGCACACTTGTGGAATATTAAACTTGGATAGGGAAGGAAGAAGGGAAATAAACAACGCATATGCCTTCTTACAACCTACTTAAAGGAGACAAAAAATGATTATTTGAGAATATAAGCACAAACATGTTAATTTTGCAAGTTGAAGTTATAAATTCTAAAAGAAATTTAGGATAATGGCATATTTAAAATAGGATGAAGTTAATTTGGGAAAGAATTCTTGAAGTTAATTTTCAGATCAGATCTCAAAAATTACTATGGGCATGTTAACAAAAAGCAGATGAAAAGGGGCAAAATTACTAGATGTTAATAATAAGCCAGATGGATAGTATGGGCTATGGCCAGGAATAAGTGGAAAAGGACTTTGAGCTTGAAAGCAGGGATAAAAAACACTACTACAGCTTAAGTAACAACCTCTTCATGCTGAGCACTAGATCACTTATCTAACAATGGCTATTATTTTTTCTGGTGCCTGCACTGTGTCTAGGCAATGTGCTAGTTGTTTCACATATGTAATTTTTAATATACACAACAACCCTACAAAATTACATATCATTAATTACTTATCAATAATTATTAAAATTCTACTTTATAGAATAAAAAAATCAAGTCTCAGTATTTCAGTAATTTGCCCAAGATTCCAGTTAATAAGGATCTGACGTGGGATTTGAAGCCAGATCACTCTGATTCCAAAGGCCATAGTCAGTGTTCTTATGCCTTTTTTCAATTAACTGACTATTCCTTCATTTTCCCTAGCCTTTAGTACCAATAGCAGCCCAGGATAAATGTTCAGCAACAAGAGTGACCGGAAAACGTAAACCTAATGACCAATCTTTGCACTTAATCCAAATTGTTTCCTAACAACCTTCTCCAACACCCCCAACTCACTATTTCACTTTCTTCAACTTCTTCCTTTCCCTATTTGCCTGATCCTGTGAAGGCTCTTCTCATTCTTCCCAAGCAGCTCTCAGCTTAATTGTCACTTCATCAGAGGACTTCCTTGGTCATTCTATCTAAAACAGATCCCTGGTATTGTCTGTTATCAATTTGTTTCCTAACATTTATCAAAATTTCCAATTATGCTGTTGGCTTAATTTCTGGAGTCAGGAAATATTAAAATATTAAACCCCATGAAATCAGAGACCTTGAAAATCTTGTTTATCTTCAATTTCTTCTGTTCAATAGAGGGGGCACTAAACACGTGGCTCTTGAGTACCAGTGGCACCTCTATATTGAGATGGTAAAATATATACCAGATTTCAAAGTCTTGGTATGAGAAAAGAAATGTGTAATATTGCATTATTTTTTTCATATCGATTACATGTTGAAATGATAATATATTCTTTCCCCTTAGTATCCCCAGGGGATTAATCCCAGGACCCCTGCAGATAACAAAATCTGATGTGCAAGTTCTTTTTAGAAATTGGCATAGTATTAGCATACAACCTACCTACATCCTCCTTTATGTTTTAAATCACCCATAGATTACTTATAATACTTAATACAATGTAAATGTTATGTAAATAATTGTTGAAATGTATTACTTAGGGAACAACAACAAGAAAAAAAATGTCTGTATATATATGCAACTTTTTTTTTTCTGAATGTTTCACATCCAGTTGGTTGAACCCTGTGGTTTGAAACCCACAGACACAGAAGGCTGACTTACTTGTATAAACTGGACTAAACATATAGCAAAAATTAATTTCACCTTCATTTTTGAAAGGAAATGTGGCTACTAAGAGAGTTTAACCTACATATGGAACTCACATATTTCTTGGCTCTGGGACAGGGCTATTCCAGAGCCCAGCACAGAATTTGGGCCCATTTTATTGAGTGAAATAACCAATCTTAAGATATATACTGAATGACTGGTGAACGAAGAGGTAGTCTTCTACTAGGAAAATGGATACCGCTTTGTCCTAGAAGTCAGGAGATCTAGGTCGTGGTCCAGAGTATACTGGAAACGCTGTGTTGCCTTGGACAAACCCTATCTTGCTCTGGGCATCAATTCACCTATCAGGTTGTTGATCTTTGAGGTCTGGAAGTCTGTAACAATAACTGGCGCAGAATTATACCAGGAAACCTGATAAAAACGGAACTTAGCTCTAGCCTAAACACTTAAGCCTTGGCCCAAGGGAGAAGATAGCGGACTAGACCCCTGAACTCAGAACCTAGGCGGCCGGCTTCCTCGGGTCTACGTCACTGGGGCGCGACAGCGTAGTTCCCCGGTCCGCAGCGGCTCAGAAGGTCCCTTTGGTGAAGGCGAGTTCCGGGCCAATGAAGGGTCAAACATTCCTAAATCTCTTGGAGGCTGAGCACTCAGTAACCCCTCCACCCCTCCCACCCTCCTTTTTATTTCGATACTACTCAGCACAGGAGCCCGGGTAAGACGAGCTACCCCATGAGCCCACCGAGCTAAGTCTCAGAGAGGCTGCGCGGAGCACGTGCACATCCTCGCAGGAGTCTCGGCGATTGGCTGTGACGTAACTTCCGGCGTGAGCGGCGAAAGCCGGGAGGGCGAGCGAGGGAGCGAGCAGGCAGCAGGCAGCAGGCGGGCCGCCGGACGTACGGCCGGCACGGAGGGAGGGAACGAGCGAGTAGTGAGAAAGCCAGAGAGGGCGGCGGGGTCCCGAGGGCTGCCGAGATTCCTCAGGTCCCTCTGGCCCCCTCCCCGGAGCCCACAGCGCCTCCGGTCTCCAGCGGAGCGGACACGGCCCGGCCCGGCCATGGCCTCGTTGCTGAAAGTGGATCAGGAAGTGAAGCTCAAGGTAGCCGCACCGGTCCGGCACTTCTTACCCCCGGCTTCGAACCCCCAGCAGCCTGAACAGCTCCCCACTCTCCATGGCGTCTTTGTCTCCCTGGGGACATCAGCTCTGAGCTTCCGCTCTGTTCAGCCCAGCCCCCCACTCCCGGAGATGGCATGGGGGAAAGGATAACATTGGGTGGCTTTCTGTACTGCGTATGGTATTGGAGAGTCCGGAGGAGACCTCCGCGGACGCGAGTTGGACTCAGTGCTTTAGGCCAGTGACAGCTGGAAGTCCCTCAGCCCAGCAACGTCCCCGCCCCCAGACGCTGCTGCTGACCCTGCCCTTGGAGGCCCGCCTGGCTCGTGTATAGGCCAGGCCTGGGTGGGAGTTGGCACGTTTGTGAGCTCACATCCCTCTATCTACCTGTCTTTTGTCTGCTTAATCAAATTCAAACAGCTTCAGACACAGGGAGGAGGGAGGGAGGAAGGGGAGAGGAGAGGACACAAACGGGTGCCCTCAAGCCCCGACTTTCCCTCTCCTGAGATGGAGAAATGGATCCTCAAAAAAATAAAGTATCTGCAGTCTGGGGGCCTCTCACCTTCTCATTACAATTTCAAGGTGAGGGAGACGGCTGGGTTTGGGATTTCCCATCCTGCCCTTACCTCTTTTGCCAGATACTGAATTGCTCCTACTGAGTAACTCTCTTTGTTAATTTTAGGTTGATTCTTTCAGGGAGCGGATCACAAGTGAGGTAAGTGAAATAAATAGAAAAATGAATGTTGATTAATAGTTGGTAATTTCCCAGAGAAGAGAGATCTGTAGAGAGACCTTCCCACAGTTATTAATTCAGCTGTATTTCCCCTCATCTAGGCAGAAGACTTGGTGGCAAATTTTTTCCCAAAGAAGTTATTAGAACTTGATAGTTTTTTGAAGGTGAGAGACCTTTTTCTTTCTTAAATTCCCCATTTTGGGGGTCCTGATCTTTCTGATAAGTGACAAATTGTGTTGATTCTGCTTTGTTTTGTACTGTAAAGCACTTCATTCCTTGACCTTCAAATGAAGTATTTCTTTGTTCAGCTTGAAAAAACTAATTTGGTTTTTGGGGTTGGTGTCTCTCTTTTAGGAACCAATCCTAAACATCCATGACCTAACTCAGATCCACTCGGACATGAATCTCCCAGTCCCTGATCCCATTCTTCTCACGAATAGCCATGATGGACTGGATGGTGTAAGTGTCTATTTATCTTTGTGTTCTTAAGCAGTAGGTTCTTGATCCTCTATTTCCTGGTAACTTGAAGATGTACATAGAAGACAATGGGAATCAGATATGAGGACTAGGATTCTTGAGTGTTATAGACATGATGGTTCAGTATATTCCTTTTAACCCCTGATTCTCACTTATAACATGAGGTGAATATGTTAATGCTACTTTTAGTGTTTGAGCGAGTTTCAAATAGGATTAACCTCAGGTTGCCTGACTTTTCCCATGGCTCTAAACAAGACTTTTCATACCTCTTTTCAATGTCTTGAGTCTTGTTATGGATGAGAAATTCTTACTATATAATTACAGGCCCTGTCTTTGCTGTTCATCTTTAGCACCTAGTCCTCATTAGTCATATGTCCACATTCTGTTATAATACCAATGAAGTTGTATTGTTTTTTGCTTGCATCACTGTCTCATTGATAGACCTTGCACATCTGGAAGTCAGGAACTGTCTCCACTTTGTATTCTCAACTCCTAGTATTGTTCCTGGTTACATAGCAGGTGCTAATTACATGTTTGTTGATTGAATATTGTCTTTATTTGTAGAACCAGCAGATTTGTGCATATTTCTTTGATTATTTTCACTATTTTCACCATGCCTTGATTAGTTTATTTTTCCTGTACTTTATCATCTTCCCTCTCCCTTGATTGCTTTGTGGCAAAAACCTTTTCTGAAAGCCTTATGTGTACTTGGGAATTTGTGCAGAGATTAAAAGACAATCTATGGGATTGAGGAAGGGAGTAAACTTGCTTGAAGGGTATCTTGTGATGGGCATGTGAGTGTTGAAGGCAGGCTAATTCCTGCCTTTTTGTTCCTCAGCCCACTTATAAGAAGCGAAGGTTGGATGAGTGTGAAGAGGCGTTCCAAGGTAAGAGCTGCCTCTACCCCAGCTCAACAGCAGCCCTGAGAAATAGGATGGATCTAGACTTCAGTCAGGAAGCAAGATCTGATTTTATTTCTCAGAGTAATCACCAGTCCTCCAAACGTAGCCATTATTTAATGCTCTAAACTTGGTTTTCCAAAAAACAGAGTATTTGATTTAGTGTGGATTGCTAAGAGAGAACAATTAGAAATTGAAACTCCACATCTCAGATTTTTTGTGGAAATTCCAGTTCTGGGTTATTTTTTAAACTCACACACACATGCACATACATATACATACACACAGATATATATATATATATA